GGTGCTTCTAATGTACAATGTCCAGCTAGGGTTAAGATCTACCATTTTTGTGGACTTGACAGTCAAGTAAACAGCATGATTACTGCATAGCAGGATAAATGCTATTATGATGGGGAGCAGCTAAGAGAGTTATCCCAACCTCGATTGTCTGTGTTCTTGCAGAGTTACACCAGTAACAAGAGACTTCAGCAACAAGCCAGGTGGAATTTTCAATGGAGGATCTGCCAAGAATCCAGGAAAACCCGTGGTGGTAGGGAGTGGGTAGGCCAAGCAACGGTAGCGTTTGTTACACAAGTGGCAGCATCCAAGAAAACGTCTGGGCACGACCATCTCGAGTGCACCACCCTGTCTCTTTCCTAAGACCCCCTGTCAGTTAGTGCCAGCAGGCCAATCTCCTGTGGATAATCCTCTGGGGTCTTACAAGAGCTCGTCTGAAAACTGGCCAGGACCCAGTCTGGGCCTCAGATTGCGACTGTGGGGGAAGGGACTGGAGCCCAGGAGATAAGACCCGCCTAGCAACTGTTGCTAAAGGCAAGTAGCCTTTGTTATCAAGCATTAGTAACACAATAGGAGGCTGAGCAGCCAGGATAGTCCATCAACATCATCCCAGGCCCTGAATTAGCCCCACAAGCAAGAAGGAGGAGGCTGTGCGGCTCAGCAAAAGAATTCCCGTGCAGGCGGTTTTTAGTTGTTAATGTGCGGATGGCTCCCCCTACTCTGGCTAATGGGGGGCAGTAAGGCAGAGACTCTCCGTTGCAAGAGGCCTTTGTTCCAGGGTCAGAGCAGAACAAATGGTCAAATCCCATCCCCCTCAGCCTCTCCAGAATCCCAAATCCCAGCAGCCTTCCACCTTCTAGGATGGCGGGGGGTGAGCAGAGTGGAGGAGAGGTTAGGAGCAAGGCAGGGGCTCGGAGCTAAATCCCGGAGCCCACTCCACGGCGGGGCAAGGAGGAAATAGCCCCGCAGGAAAAGAGGAGGGAGGAAGCGGGAAACAACTGCTCTCCCTCCAGTTCTCAGCATCTTCCCCTAAATGCTTCCCCACCGGCTCAAGAGGAGAGTCACCGCCCTCAAAGCAGCCAAAGCCTCCGCGATCCCCCCTTCCTCTCCGCTCCGCCCCTCAGGCGCCCGGGGCCCTGCCGCGAGGATGCGCTACCTCCCCCGTGCCCCGTGCCCCGCGCCCAGGAGGCCGCGGGGAAGGCCCAACGGGGAGCGAGCCCTGAGCAGGGGCGAGCGGCCTATCCTAGGGGCTCTCTGCCCCTAGAGAAGGAGGAGACTCGAAGCCCGATGCCCCCTCCGGGAGCTCCTCCTGATGTGGGCATGCTGCTTCAATGCCCATAAAATCCAGCAACCTGGCCTCTATCCATCACTCCTTACCACCTGGGTGATCTTGATCGAGCCCTTGGACCCTTCTACGCCTCAGTTTCCGTGCCTGTACGGCGCAAGCTTGCCGTGCAGCCCGAGAGCTTTGTAAAGGTCAAGGCAAAGAAGGCCCTGGCTGCCAGTGTGGTCTGGGTGAGACCATCTGCATTAGAATCAGTGAGAGGAGGGGGAAAGCTAGTTGATTTTGCGGCTTCCTGGCCCTCCCCAAGAGCACAGAACTAGAATTCTGGGAGGTGGGGGTTTAAACCTGAATTTTAAAGAGCACCTCCAGATTATTCATACAGCAGCCACGTTTGAGGGCCACCACCACCAAGCATGATTATCACTATTGGTGCCCCTTGGCAACGGAAGGTGTCGTGTCCGTCTGAAATACCTCACGATCTGACAAAAATCAGGAGGCAACAAATGCCTGGTGCTGGAAATCTGCATCACCAGGAGACAAAGACGAGAGATGTGCACTCGGGCGGGGGTGGGGGAGGGGTGAGGGAGGGGTTGTCTGACGCACAAACCAGCTTCTGTGGGACCCAGAGAGGAGGACAGACTTAGAGGGGCTGGAGCCCAGACTTGGAGAATAAACAGGCTGAAACAGGGGAATAAATTGTTCTGGGAAGTGAAATTTTTTATACCTCACATAGGCCAGGCCCACTGCCAGCTCATCTCTTTTTGAAAGTCTTCTCTTAATAGGTGGATGGACCCTCTCTTCCTGTAAAAGGATCATTTGTGTCCAGGTCTTATTTATTCTGCTCACAAAACTGCTGAAAGCTCTACGGTGGGCACAGAGGTCACCCTCACTCCCACTTCCCGGGAACTATACTCAGAGCTTTCACAACCACACAAACGTCAGACCCCAGGGCAGATAGGCACCCTTATCTGGGAGCCACCTCTTCAGGAACCCCCAGGGCCGGGCCTTAAACTAACCTCAGGTGGGGATTAACATATCTAAGGGGAAAGGTGGGTCAGTCCTGAGAATTGGCCTGGAGGGAGCTTTATGAAGGAAAGGGGAGCCCTGATCCACAAACTGGAATTACTGGTTCTTGGGACAGGTGTATCCTTCATTACAGGGTCCTTGAGCACTTTAGATCAAACTGGGGGTAATAAAATCAGTTCAGGGATCCCAACAAGAATTTAAAAATTGGGACGCCTGGGTGGCTCAGTGGTTGAGCACCTGCCTTCGGCTCAGGGTGTGATCCTGGAGTCCCGGGATTGAGTTCCACATTGGGCTCCCTGCACGGAGCCTGATTCTCCCTCTGCCTGTGTCTCTGCCTCTCTCTCTGTGTGTGTCTCTCATGAATAAATAAAATCTAAAAAAAATAAATGAATAAAAATTTGGGGAGTGCCTGGGAGGCTCAGTCGGTTGGGCGTCTGCCTTCAGCTCAAGTCATGGTCCCAGGGTCCTGAATGGAGCCCCACATTAGGCTCCCGGAGCAGTGGAGAGTCTGCTTCCCCCTCCCTCTGCTGCTCCACTTGATCGTGCTCTCTCAATTTCTCTCTCTCTCTGTTTCTCTCATGAATAAATGAATAAAACATTTAAAAAAATTTTTTTAGAATGCACAAATATCAGAATCTCTGTACATTGCTATGTTTCATAGATAAGTAATGGATACATGTGGAAACAATGTTTTCAATAAAGTCAATTTATTCTAGCATTTTACCCACCCTGGGAAAAGGATAATAATTTTCATCAGATTTTCCAAAGATTAAGAACACTGTTATGGACCCCCTTAGATTCTCAGAGCTTAGTGACAGGCTTATTATTGGGCTCTGGCTCACCAACATCCTTCTGGCTATAACCTGGCTTCAGGAAAGTCTAAGATTTGCCTTCAAATCTTGAAGTTCTCTCAGGAGAACTTCCCAATCAAGATGCTTAAGTGTCTGGTCTAATCGATAGTTTTCTCTGGAAACCAGCATTCTGACTTTCTTTTTTATACTTCTGTCTCTTATGAATTTGGTCAATGTGTTTCAGTCCTCTGGAGCACTATCACTTCTAAGTGTACAAACAATAAAATTTCTGAGCCTGTAAAGACCATGGAATATGGTAACAAAGCCAAAATAATGCCAGCCTGTAGACCTTACCACAAACTTAAAGGTCAGTCACCAAGGCGTTTGTATGCTCAATAAATATTTCAATGAATGAGCAGACTGGTTAGGATACAATATCCGGGAGAGCTCTACATAAAGGTCACGTACCCCAAGCCACTTAAAATCTTCAAGCAGCTCAAACTTTCTGTGAACCCACCAAATGAAACATTCAGAAATCCTGCCCACTCCCACAGCACCCAAGTCCCTCCCACAAATAGTCCTTAGGGAAGTTCTGTCCAACAGACATCCCAAAGGAAGGGGCCAGGAACATCTGATCACCTGGGCTGCTCTCCTAACAAGGCATCATCTAAAATGGAGGCCATCTTAGTTCTCTCCTGCTTTGATAACACTCCTTCTCAGCCTGTTTCATGAACTTTCCATCTTATTTCTGTTTCCAGGGTCCCCTTCTTGGCCTGCTCCTCTTTTCAACTGATGGCCTTGGTGGGAACCTCCTCCCTCTGACAGTTTTAAGGATTACCTTTCCACAGACAAATGTCAAACATCTGTTTCCAGGCTAGAACTCTCCTGTGGGTTCCAAAGTCATGTATGCAGCCACTTCCTGGACATCTTCATAGGGTTGTCTCCTAGACACCTCCAACTCTACAGGTTCAAAACCAAACTTTCTATTCTCCTTCCCATCCTGCTCCTCTTCTTACATCCCCTATCTCCATCAAGGTCACTACCCAACTCAAGTCAACTCAAGTCAATCAACTCAAGCCAAATGCCATCCAAAGTCTTCACCCCCACATGGTTGGTCCGTAAGACCTCTGGAGTCCTCCTCCAGCACACTGCACATCTCCTCGTTGCTTCTGTCTCCTAGCTTTGTCATCTCACACCTGCTATTCCCCTGCTCTCCCAGCCTCCGTCCCCACCTCTCTCACTGGGCAACCTTCTCATTGCAGTCCATTCTCCCCAGTGCTACCAGGGTGATCCATTTGCCAAACCCATCAGCTGTCCTAGGACCAAGAGCATAGTCCTGAGGGACTCTGAGAAACTAAATTTTTTTTTTAAGATTTTATTTATTTATTCATGAGAGATACAGAGAGAGAGAGAGAGAGAGAAGCAGAGACACAGGCAGAGGGAGAAGCAGGTTCCTCACAGGGAGCCCGACGTGGGACTCAATCCCAGGTCTCCAGGATCATGCCCTAGGCCGAAGACAGGCTGAGCCACCCAAGGATCCCCGAAACTAAATTTTGTTATGAAAGGAGACAGGTCAAGGAAGGTCCAGGCATGAGACACTGCTCAGAGTTCAAGGCCAGGGAACCCCAAGCAGCCAGCAGGCAATAATGTGTATCTGGGAGAAGGTAAGAAGTGGGGGTCACGAGAGAAGGGGGTAAAGGGCAGGGGGGATGTTCACAGTATCATAGGGGCCAGACAGTACAGAGCAAGGTTTCCTTGCTCATGGGGGCCCTGGAAAGACACATTTCCCATTCAGGATAGAACCAGCATCCAATCCTATAGCAGTAGGATGGGGAGCCAGTGAAGACCTACAGGGTAAGATCTGAAAGTCGAGCCAGAGCAGAGGAGAGGGGTGGACTCACCGGGAACAGCATGGCTCTGAGCTCCAGGTAGAGCACATTGTCCTGGTAGAACTCCTCCAGGGCCTGGAAGACATAGTCTCTAAACACTGGCGCATAGTAGACAAGGCCAGAAATTGTGAAGAAGATGCTTTGAAACTTGGACCAGACAATAGCTTGGTTTGGGTAAGCCACCTCAGGGTTCTCAGTCATCAGAGTGAAATTCTTCAGCAGTCTGTCCAGGACACAAAGGGAAAATTTGAGGAAGTGTGTTTCAAGCCACAGCCTCCAGGTACCTGCAGGATTCCTGCCCACCTTGCCTCTCCTGCCAGAAGCAAACCCAAAGGCCTTGTAGGAGCAGTGATGAGAGGCCAGGGGAAGCACGGAGCTCTCTGATGGGGGCCCCCTCCCTGAGATCCGCCGTGTGCCTCTCAGGACCCAGCTCAAGGTGGGATGCTCCCACCGACCAGGCTCTCCTGCCCCTCTCCACATGCTTAGCCAACTCGTCCCCACTGTCGGACCAAGTTCTCTTTAGGGGGTGTTATGCACTGAATTGTATCCCCCTAAAATCCATACATTAATGGGATGCCTGGGTGGCCCTGCGGTTTGGCGCCTGCCTTTGGCCCAGGGTGTGATCCTGGAGACCCTGGATCGAGTCCCACGTCAGGCTCCCTGCATGGAGCCTGCTTCTCCCTCTGCCTGTGTCTCTGCCTCTCTTTCTTTCTCTATCTCTCTCATGAATAAATAAATAAAATCTTAAAAAAAGAAAATAAAAAAAAATCCATACATTGAAATCTTCACCCTCAATGTGACCGTATTTGAAGAAAAGGCCTTTCTGGTGGTATTTAAGGTTAAATGAGGTCATAAGGGTGGGGCCCACACAGAATGGGACTGGTGTCAGGGACACCAGGAGTGCACACACACCAGGAGTGCACACACACGGAAGGCTATGGGAGGACACAGTCTGCAAGCCAAGGACAGAGGCCTCGGGAGAGACCAAGCTTGCCAGTGTCTTCACCTTGGATTTTTAGCTTCCAGACCGGTGAGCAAAACAATTTCTAGTGTTTAAGCCACCCGATCTGTAGAATGCTGTGATGGCAGCCCCAGCAGGCTAATACAGTAGGTAGGATGGAAATAACTCTGGACCGGGCACCACAGGACCCAGGCCTTGCCCCGATTAGCCATGTACAGAGCTTCACGTTTCTTATTCATAAAGGGAAGTAACCTTGTGAAGGCACTCCGTAGATGGTTCTGTGATTAAAATAGTTTATTACTTATAATATTACTCTACAAGTGTGTTAGGAAGTCACTCTATCATGATTTCAAGGTGTTTTACCCACCAATGCACTGTCATTATTCCAGGAGCTGGGAACTTTTCATCTTTCTGGTATTAAGCATCTGGACAAATCTCATTTGATGCAACAATAGTAGTACTGTTAATACCTCTTGCAGATCAAATTGGATTTAAATGAGCCAGGAACTTACTATTTGAATGCTTTTATGAAGCAGTGTATCCTGTAAAGGGCAGCAGGTGGCTCAGTGGTTTAGCGCCGCCTTCAGCCCAGGGCCTGATCCTGGAGACCTGGGATCGAGTCCCACATCAGACTCCCTGCATGGAGCCTGCTTCTCCCTCTGCCTGTGTCTCTGCGTCTCTGTGTGTGTGTGTCTCTCATGAATAAATAAAAATCTTTAAAAAAAAAAAAAAAGTATCCTGTAAAGTTTAAAGAAAACACCAGATTTGCATCTATGGGTCTGTAGCGAGGAAGACGCACACGCTTCCATCCACTACCTATAATGAGCACATGATTTATTCTTTCTGAACCACACTCACCTGTTGTCAAACTCAGTGACATTCTGCAGCTCCTTTCGATATTTCTCCAGCAAAACCCACTCTGAGCACTCTGCTGGCGTAGGGGTTGGGGGTGCTGGATAAGCAAATTTGAACTTCAGCGCCCCCCTTGGGGTGATACAGAAATGGCAGTGGGGCCTGTAAGTGACATTTTTCACCAGCCAGTTCATGCTCAGGATGCTGAAGTCATGGATGTGTAAGGCAGCCCCTGGAAAGGGAAGAAAGTCAGGGGTGGGGATGAGGCAAAAGAGGTGAAGTCCAGATTCCAGGGCCTAGGGCTCCTGAGGACAGTATAGATGGGCAAGCAGTGAGAAGCACAGGATGTCTGTCTGGTGGAGTTCCTTGGAAACATTCATAATGCACCTTCTCCACTCCAGTGCAAGGAGCTTCTAAGCCTAGAGATACCTTTGTCTCCCTGGGATGGCTACAGCCTTTTCTGCTCCACTTTAGGAAGGGAGCTTCCCTCACTAGACCTCATTCAAGAGAGGCAACCTGATGAGGTGGGGGAGCATCAGGCTTGGAATCATTAGACTGGGGTTCAAGCTGGGCTCCATCTCACCACCCAACATCCCCATAAAGGGATGTAACAGGAAGGAGCCTCAGCCCCTCCCTCGACCTGGTCCAGATCCTCTCAGCCTGCTCCCCAGTGCCCCACATACCGGCTTTGCATTCCCTGCTTCTGGTCTCATCTAGGCAGCTTCCGGCCATCAGGATTCCCTAATGCCCATGCTTCTTTCAGACCTGACACCTATTTTGACTGCAGAACTCCTCAAGGCACACTATCCACTGTCCCTCTGCTCTTCTTGCTCTGTCTTAGCACCTGGCCTTGACACTGGCCACTTAGGGGTCCCAGCTGTGTGAGCTTTGGCATGTCACCCTCGCTAAACCTTATGTTCTCCATCAAGTGGGGATATTATTTCACCAATTTGTGTTTCTTTTCTAAATCTCTACTTATTTATAGCATTAAAATAAAGAGGTATAGAAAAGTCCTTGGGGCACTCAGGTGGCTCATTTGTTAAGTGTCCAACTCTTGGTTTTAGCTTAGGTTGTGATCTCATGAGGTCCTGAGATGGAGCCCCACATATGGGCTCTGTGCTCAGTGGGGAGTCTGCTTGGGATTCTCTCCCACTGTCCGCCCTTCAATTCACTACACTCACATTCTCTCTCTCTCTCTAAAATAAATAAATAAATCTTAAAAAAAAAGTCCCTATAAGCTGCAAACTACTATTTGTGTTTGTTTTGGTTTTTAAGATTTTATTTATTTATCTGAGAGAGGGCACAAGCCAGGGGGAAGAGCAGAAGGCAAGGGAGAAGCAGACTCCTCACTGAGCAGGAAGCCTAATGCTGGGCTCCACCCCAGGACCCTGAGATCACGACCTGAACCCAAGGCAGACATTACCAACTAAGCCACGTTTGCAGGCGTCCCTGCAAACCGTTATTTGTGGGTGCAGGATTGTAATTATTTTACTATTCATAGAAATGTACATATACTATAGACAAACCCTACTAGAAATGTGTTTATCCAGGATGCTCGTTCATACCATACCCTGTTTGGTACCTGAGCCCCCCAAAATGGTAGAAGAGTCAGATGCAAGAAAAGACATGAAAGGAGAATAGGTCCTATGGGCTCCAGTACTCCCTTAGGGGTGGACACATCAGCTTTGTCTGTGAAGACAGTAATGCCCAGCACCCACACCCTACCATCTCTGAGGCAGAGTCCCTTGGAAGCAGGGCTTTAGGTTTCCAGGATAAACCAGCAGCCACTCTGGACCACCTCCTCTCTAGCGTGCCAAGCAAGAACAAAGATGCAGAGTAGCCAAGTCGGGTTCTCGCTGCTCCATTCATTTATTTTTAGTTTTATTATTATTATTTTTTTTATGTAGGCCCCACATGCAACATGGTGCTTGAACTCATGACCCCAAGATCAAGAGTCCCACGCTCTGAGGACTGAGGCAGCCACAGGCTCCTCACTGCTCCATTTAGAACAATAACAACGCTGGTTGCCAGTTTAGCTCCCCCTATCTTCCTAGCACCCCACACCACCCTCTCCAAAACTCCACCTTTTGGCATCTTCTTCAGTATGTTAAACACCTCACTTTTCTCAATGAGATTCTTGGCCTGGAAAAAGTGCATGCTTGGGGGGAACTGGTGGGTCTTCATGGCCTGTGCCACCTCAGCCTTCTTGAGGGCCATGAGCCTCTCGTTGGCCAGCTCTTCCTGTTGGGTCAGCACCAACTGCCCCCCCAGCTGCATCATCCTCTCTCGCATCAATAGCTGGGTTCGTGCTTCATCTATGGACATGGTTGAGCAGGAAACAGATGTTGCCACCATCAGAAGCAGAGAGAGCAGGGCTGGCCGCCCTAATGGGCCACCCACAGACATTGGGATGCCTGGAAGAGGAAATTGCACAGACTTGGAAACAACATATCTAAAGGGTCACTGGAAATCTACAATTTCAATGTCAAACTCTGATTTTCCTTCTCCTACTCTGTTCTCAGATTACCATATTTTATTTATTTATTTGGGAGAGAGAGTACCCATGAGTAGGGGGAAGGAGCAGAGGGAAAGGGAGAAGCAGGTTCCCTGCTGAGCAGGAAGGCTGACATGGACCTTTCCCAGGACCCTGAGATCATGACTTTAGCAGAAGGCAGACTCCCAACCAAATGAGCGACCCAGGCACCCCTATAATTTTTTATATTATAGCTGGCTGGTTCAGTGAGTGGAGCATGCAACTCTTGGTCTTGGGGTTGTCAGTTCAAGTTCTGCATTGGTTGTAGAGATTACATAAACATGTTTTTTAAATTTAAAAATTAGGGAAACCCTGGGTGGCTCAGCGGTTTGGGGCCTGTCTTTGGCCCAGGGCCTGATCCTGGAGACCTGGGATCGAGTCCCACATCAGACTCCCTGCATGGAGCCTGCTTCTCCCTCTGCCTGTGTCTCTGCCTCTCTGTGTGTGTGTCTTTCATGAATAAATAAATAAATAAAATCTTAAAAAAAAACTGATTTTCTAAAATAAATAAATAAATAAATAAATAAATAAATAAAATTTAAAAATTTTAAAATTTTAAAAATAATGGAATGAGAAAGAGCTTTTAGAAATTGAAAATACAAAAGTTCTGAAGGGTGCCTGGGTGGCATAGTCAGTTGAATGTCTGACTCTTGGTTTTGGCTCCAGTTGGGCTCTGTGCTCACCATGCAATCTGCCTAAGATCCTCTCTTCCCGGGATGCCTGGGTGGCTCAGTGGTTGAGCATCTGCCTTTGGCTCAGGGCATGATCCTAGGGTCCTGGGATCAAGTACCCCATCAGGGTCCCTACAGGGAGCCTGCTTCTCCCTCTGCCTGTGTCTCAGCCTCTCTCTCTGTGTCTCTCATGAATAAATAAATAAAATCTTTTTTAAAAAGTTTTAAAAATACAAAAGCTGATATTTAAAAAATTTACTAGCAATATTACAAGATGGAATTGAAGATAATCTTTTAGAAATTCGGACAAAATAAGAGAGAAACAAATGAGATGATTATTGGCTCAGGAAGTCCAATACCCAAATAACAGACATATCAGAAGGAAAAAGAAAAAATAGAAGAAAAAAGTAAACAAATAATACAAGAAACTGGGCCAGAATGGAAGACCTGCAACTCTGGGTTGATGAGGTTTGTTTAGCTCCTAGCATAGTCCAATTGCTCAATGGCCACACCAAGATAATATTATCTTGATATTTCAGAACATTAACTCTAAGCAATACTAATAGCTTCTAGAAAGCAGCTAGTCCAGGTTGGCAAGAGCAAGGATTTAAGACAGAAGGAAAGAAATTTGCTTGTATAGGGTCTCCTCATGCCTAGCTCTGTGTTAGGACTTTACCTGGGTCATTTATTTGAATTTCATTTAAGAATTATGGGGTGCCTGGATGACTTAGTCAGAGGAGCATGCGAGTCGATCTCGGGGTTGTGAGTTTGAGCCCCATGCTGGGTGTAGAGATTACTTAAATTTTTTTTTTTAAAAAAGGAATTATTTCTGCATACTTGAAAATATAATACAGTATCCTGGAAAGAATCAAAGCTATAAATTGGAAGACCTCAGGATCAGTCCCAAATTAGTATGTCTTTAACTGTGAGACCTTGGGCAAACTGCTTAATGTCTAGAGGTCTCAGTTTTCTCACCTGTGGAAAGGTGAATTCCACTAAATCAGTGGCCCTCAAAGTATGACACATGTATCATCAGTAATACAAGATATCACTGTTTAGGATGAATAAAAAAATTTAAAAACAAGTTCATTTAAAGAAAGATATTAAGTAGGGGTGCCTGGTGGCTTAGTCAGTTAAGTGTCTGCTCTCAGCTCCTGTCATGATCCTCAGCAGGAAGCCTGCTTCTCCCTCTCCCTCTGCCTGACACTTCCCTTGCTTGTGCATGCTCTCTCTCTCTGACGAATAAATAAATAAAATCTTTTTTTCAAAAAAAAAAAAAAAAAAGAAAGAAAGATATTAAGTAAATAGAGCTGCAGGGATATGAAAAAGATGAAAAGCTTGCTAATCATTGAAATACATTACAGATTGTTTCCAAGGCCAACATTCAATTATCCTAAGTAAGGTCCATCAAACTCCCAAGAGGGAGTTTTCAGAAGGAACTGGATACTATTTGCTCTGGTACCACAGCTATGGTAGGGGCTGTACTCTTCTAATCAGAGAGTTGGACGAAGGCTTCAAATCTCTCTTTGGACTACAGTGTTTGCAACGGCTGAGACATCGAGGGCAAGAGGAGAGCGACATTTATGTCACCATCCTGTCCACCCCATGCTGTATCCTGCAAACAATGGCCCCGGTCCCCTTGCCCTCCCTTTTAATTTTTTTATTATTTTATTATTATTTATTATTATTATTTTCCCCTCCCTTTTTGCTACACAGAGCAGAGGCCACTGTGCTCTACCATCTCCACCTCTGTCCTCTCCACAGACCCCAGAAGTAGTTGTGTGGCCCAGCATCTAGGGGCTTTTCCCTGCCTGACAGGTCCCAGCCCAGCTGGCTGAGCATCAGGAAAAACAATCCCTATGACAATCACCACCATACTTACTCCATCTCTCTCATTAATTTCCTTTTACTTTTAAAAGATGGTGCATGAAAACTCGATCATTTGTTCCCAGAGTAAGAACAAGGAAACAGACCGTGTACATCTGTGACTCTGAGAGAACGTCCTGGGGCCCACAGCCATTTTCAAAAGCCTGCCCTGCAGCCAGGCGACGTTCTTCCTCCCCTAGAAGGGACTGGCTGCTGCGGGCGGGGGCAGGGAGGGCTGCCACCAGGTAAGCAAAGCCCAGGGGCCTGGCGTCCTCGCTACCCCATGGCTAGACCCCCACCCCAGGGGACCCCCGTTACCTCAGAGCAGCTCCAAAAACTGCGCACTGTTTGCTGAGTGCCCCCAACAGCTGTGTCAGAGGCACCAGAAGAGCTCACCATCCTGTTTTCACTTCCTGTCAGGGCAGGTTTCACTTCCTCTTGGTCTCTCTTTGGAGGCCTGAGAAACACGCTAGCCAGGAGGACAGAGTCCAGCAGAGCCAAGGCAGCAAGTAAGCTTGGGAATATGGACTTACACCTGTGTGTGCGTGTGTGAACTTGTGGGTGATCTATGTGTGTGTTTGCATGTGTTCGTGTGCATTTGTGTGGAAGTCATGTACATCTCTGTGTGTGTGCATGTGTGTACGTGTGTGGGGCTATGTGTTTGTGAGGCAGATATAGGCGTGTTTGTGTGAGTTCATGTGCATGTGCAGGCTTAATAGCTTTGGGGGGAGGATATGTATGTTTGTGTCTGAGGTGTCTTTGTAGGGTCTAGAGCATAGTTTTAAACAATAAGCACCACAAAAACAGTCCAAAGTCTCCTTACACACTTTGGGAAGACACCCCTCCTCCAAATGTGATTCGTGGGGCAACCCTCTAGACAGAGGGTGAAAAGGTAGATATAAGAGACAGTAAATGGGGCAGCCCGGGCAGCTCAGCAGTTTAGCGCCGCCTTCAGCCTGGGGTATGATCCTGGGAACCCAGGATCGAGTCTCACGTCGGGCTCCCTGCACGGATCCTACCTCTCCCTCTGCCTGTGTCTCTGCCTCTCTCTCTCTCTTTCTCTTTCTCTCTCTCTCTATGTCTCTCATGAATAAATAAATAAAATCTTAAAAAAGAGAGAGAAGGTAAATGTGTTATGGGGAAAATCTAGGTTAGTTGAGGAAGTAGGGAGATGTAAAGCAGGAGTGATGTGGGTAGGGAGGACAGGAAAGAAAGCAAGCAGCATAAAGGGTCCAGAGGAAGAGTGGAATGGACTCGAGCCCTGATATCCAGAAGCTGGAGTCTGGCCTACCTTCATATCTGGGCCAGGCCATTCACAGCTGTGTGGTTTTGGCCACTTTTTTTTTTTTTAATTTTTATTTATTTATGATAGAGAGAGAGAGGCAGAGACATAGGCAGAGGGAGAGGCAGGCTCCATGCACCGGGAGCCCGACGTGGGATTCGATCCCGGGTCTCCAGGATCGTGCCCTGGGCCAAAGGCAGGCGCCAAACCGCTGCGCCACCCAGGGATCCCTTGGCCACTTTTTTTTAATAAAGAATTTATTTATTTATTAGAGACAGAGAGCATGAGCAAGGGGAGAACAGGAGAAGCAGGCTGCCCCCTGAGCAGGAAGCCTGACTCAGAACTTGATCCCAGGACCTCAGGATCATGATCCAAGCCAAAGGCAGCTGCCCACCCACCGGAGCCACCCAGGTTCCCCAGGCCTTGGCCGTGGTATTTAGCTATGGTATTTAAACTTTTGATACTTCAGTTTCCTAATCTGAAGATGGAGGTCATAAAGCAATGACTACACAGGTCCACGATGAGCACGTTTGCAAAGTGCCTAGTAAGTTCTCGAGAAATAGTAGCCATGGGCACCCTGGGCGGCTCAGCAGTTTAGCGCCCTGGGCGCCCTTCAGCCCAGGGCGTGATCCTGGAGGCCCGGGATTGAGTCCCACATCGGGCTCCCTGCATGGAGCCTGCTTTTCCCTCTGCCTGTGTCTCTGCCTCTCTCTCTGCATCTCTCATGAATAAATAAATAAAATCTTAAAAAAAAAAAAAAGAATATGAGACGGTACCAGTCACTTATGTGACACACGCCTTCCCCATAGACCTGCCCTGTGCCTCTCTCTTTCCCAGCCCTCTCTCAAGGCCTTCTGCCTCGGAGATACCCACAAACCCTCCAGCACTTCTGCTTCTGCAGTTCCTAAACTTCTAGAACCATGAGGCCCCTTGTCATCATCTTCTCCAAAAAGTAAAAAGATCATCTGTTTCATAAACAAGGAAAAATCCAAAAGTGAAAATACAGAGAAACTAGAATTTCCCTCCTCACAAGGTCAAGATTAATTTTTCTACAAGTCAGTGAAATCAGAGGAAACATACAAGTACTAAAGACAAAATTGACTGACAGAAGGGTAAGAAGGGAAAAATCACCAATTTTGAACATAAATCATTAGAGGATTTTTTTAAGATACCAGATTAGAGCCAAAGATAAGGCTTTTCTTTCCAAAAGCTTTGGTTAAAAGTGAGAACTAATGTTCACATGTCAAAGGATGGACACCTGCTCCTGACCTAGCCAGGAAGTACCGAAAGCCGGGGAGGGCTGGAGGTCTTGAGGCTGGAGTTCTGCATCAGGCAGCTACTTGGGCCAGGGGAGTGGAGGGCCCAGACGTTGAGAACCAGAGAGTAAAGTGGCTGGGAGCACACCAGGACACAGGATCAGAGACAATGAACCGAAGTAGGGTCAAACCCAGGAGACTGACCAGCAAGACCTGCAAACCGCTTGGCCCTCTGGGGCCATCGGCCTCCTTGAGGGTGCTGCCCTAAGCACTAGTGTCTAGCAGAAAAGGTGTGGCATCTGACGACAGCAAGCCACGGTGTAACCTGGTAAGGCTGTTTTGGAACAATAGTCTGCCAAGCACAGAGACCATAAAATGTGGAACAGAGCTCTGCTTGTCACGCTTTGTTGAAGACAACGGTCAGAAGCAGAACTGGCCTTGTGTTCAGAATCTGAAAAATCAACAGGGCAGGAAAAGGGAACCAAAGTGTCTTTTTAGTGATTACAAAGCTTAACTAAAATGGAATGAAGTCTGAAAAGACAGGCAGGATATGACCCCAAAACTGGAGACAGGAGAGGTTTTCAGAATTAAAGGCAGTGTATGGCTACACAAAAATTTGAGAGGTATTTTCATTAAAACATTGCTATCTCCCATTAATGCCATGAATTTTATGCCATTGCTATATGTAACCTACAGCAAAGTATAGGAAAGTTACCTACGGTTGAAGGTTTGAAGTACTAGATATACCACTTCGATAGAAGACAAATAAGGTTCTCTGACCCCAGAGTTTAAAAAGTGAAATACTGGGCAGCCTCAGTGGCCCAGCGGTTTAGCGCCACCTTCAGCCCAGGGCGTGATCCTGGAGACCTGGGGATAGAGTCCCATGTCAGGTTCCCTGCATGGAGCCTGCTTCTTCCTCTGCCTGTGTCTCTGCCTCTCTCTGTGTGTCTCATGAATAAATAAATAAATTCTTAAAAAAAAAAAAAAAAAAAAAAGACAGAAAGGCAGATCCCTGGAGGAGAGCCCAATCATAAAGGTGGGACACAGGAACAGATATTATCAGGCATAATATGATTTTTCTAGATACTGGGAACTTATGCTTTTAATAGCCAAAGATTTTCAGGAAGCAAAAAATTAGCTCTTTCAAGTAATTGCTGTGTGATTTTGAAAAAATTAGTAACATCTATGAGCTTAATGCCCTTATCTGCAGAAGGGAAGAATAACATGTTCTTACTAAGTTTTTTACCAAGTAAGTTTGTGTGTGTGTGTTAAATGATACACATGAAGATATTTCTTTCTTTCTTTTTTTCCTGAGAGGGAGAGGGAGAGCACAAGCAAGGGAAGAGAAGAGAGAGAGAGAATCTTAAACAGATTCCACATTCAGCATGGAACACCACACGGGACTTGATCTTATAACCCCCAAATCATGACCTGAACAGAAATTAAAAGTCAGATGCTTAACCAACTGCACCAACCAGGCACCCCTTAAGATTTTATTTTTGGAGGGGCACCTGGGTGACTCAGTCCATTCAGCATCCACCTTCAGCTCAGGTCAGGCAGGGTTCTGGGATTGAGTCCCACATTGGGGTCCTTGCTCAGTGGGGAGTCTACTTTTCTCTCCCTCTCTCCCTCTCTCTCTGCCACTCCCCCCCCCTTGTGCTCTCTCTCTCTCTCTGTCAAATAAATAAATAAAACCTTAAAAAACGATTTTTTGTGTTTTTTTTTAAAGTAATCTCTACACCTAATGTGGAGCTTGAGCCCTTGATCCCTAGATCAAGACTGATAAGTCCCACTGACTGAGCCAGTCAGGTGCCCCCAAACTAGACCATTTAAACACAAAGACTAAATCCCTAGAGCCACAGACATCTTATCATACTCTCTTTAGCAGAGTACTGCAGATTTGCTTGGAGGGAAGAGTAAAACAGTTTCTGGCCTAGCTAAGGATGGCATACCCTACTAAAAATGAAGATACTATTGAAATTTTGCACACCTAACAAAAATTTTCCCCTACTAGTCTCCCAGACATCAGCAACCACCTGATGAAGAAAAGGGAAAAGACTTCCCCAGGGCTCTCACCAGCCCCTGAGAATGGCCCTAAAGATACTGACAAAGATTTACCAGATTACTTTATACCAGAAGGTATGGCCTGCAACCACCACTCCCCCATATACACAGGGCTTGTAGCATCCTCTCATTACCCCACTCTTAAATATAAGCAGATATCAAGGAGCCCCTATGTTTGAGGCATGTTATTTTATGACAGAGCAAAAGGCATCTTGGAAGAAACAGAATAGGAGACAGAGGAAAACCCCATCTAATATTATTAGTGTCAGAGAGGTAAAAGAAGGTATTGTATCCATGAAACAAGAACAGGATATTATAAAGAAGAGATAGCCAAAGAGTGAAAACTAACTTGGCACAAATAATGGAGAGTAAAAATGAAAACCTACAGAAAAGTTGAATGATAAAATTAATGTCTTCCAGAAGGTAGGACAAAAAGACAATGAAAAGAAAAATTGGGGCAGCCCCTGTGGTGCAGCGGTTTAGCACCGCCTGCAGCCCAGGGCGTGATCCTGAAGACCCTGGATCGAGTCCCGTGTCGGGCTCTCTGTATGATGCCTGCTCCTCCCTCTGCCTGTGTCTCTGCCTCTCTCTCTGTGTCTCTATGAATAAATAAATAAAATCTTTTAAAAAAAAAAAGAAAAGAAAAGAAAAATTGAAGGGAAAAGAGTTTTTTTTAAAAAGGATAAACAGCCAAAAAAAATCAAAGGTAAGAAAACATCATTTTCCAGAAAGAGAAAACAGAATGGAGAGAAACCAAAGAAATAATCCAAGAAAATACATTAGAATGGAAAGAC